CTCCCAGGGACACAGGGTTAGATACGGAGTAAAGCTCCCTCTACACTATCCCCCATCAAACACTCCCAGGGACAGAGGGTTAGATACAGAGTAAAGCTCCCTCTACACTCCATAGCTCTGATGATTGTTCATTTGTGTGTTGCCTACAGGTTGTTCCCTGTCTCCGGTTGCCGTGTAGCGCCGCTGACGACCAGTGCCTGTGGACAGATGGAATTTTGAATGGGAATTGGGACGGGCCGCAGCGCCAGAGTTTCTCCTGCAGCATGAATGCTTCCGGCCTGTGCCACTGGGTCCCCACCAAGGTCGCCAGGATGCGTGCCCTCTCCCAGGAGGAGAGGCAGTAACCGGGGGAACGGGGAGCAGGAACGAGGCCCGCCAGAGATCCCGCCCCCTCCTCGAGCCTGTATTGAGCCACTGGTGTCGTTCCTTTTCTCTCGCCTCCCCTAATCCAGGCTTCGGAGCAAAATGCTGCCAACTTCCATCAAAATGGCCTCCACTTGCAATGCAGTGGCCTCTACGTGCGTTAAAATGGCCTCCACGTCCAACGCAGTGGCCTCCACCCCTGTTAAAATGGCCTCCACCCCCGTTAAAATGGCCTCCACGTCCAACGCAGTGGCCTCCACCCCTTGTTAAAATGGCCTCCACCCCCGCTAAAGTGGCCTCCACCCCCATTAAAATGGCCTCCACTTCCAAAGCAATAGCCAACTCTCCCATCAAAAAGGGCCTCACTTCATCAAAATGGCCTCTGCTCCCACCAAAATGGCCCTCACTTCATCAAAATGGTCTCCACCTCAAAAAGCATGCCACTTCTGATGGTAGGCCCTCTACTCCTGTCAAAATGGCCCCCCGTGTCCATCCAAACAGTCCCCACTCCCAACGCAATAGCCTCCACCCCTATCAAATGCCCGCCCCATTGTCAACAAAATGGCCCCCACTTGCGTCCAAAATGGCCTCCACCTTGAAACGATACGCCTCCCCACACCTCCACGTCCCTTCTTCTTCCCTCCCTCCCTCACGCCGCCCACCGCCCCCTTACTTCAAACCAATTTGCCCCACAACGCCGAACGGTACGGCCCTGCTATCGCCAAGGCGACCTCGCGCATACGTCAAAACTCGCCTCAGCTTCCAACAAGATGGCCTCCAGCTCAGACACAATGGCTCCCGCTTGATATCCTCTTTTATAGAAGGCTATCCTTTTCTGCGCCTTTTTAGCCTATTGTTGGTTAACTTATTATTTCTATTTGTGAGCCGTAGTGATCAAGGGTGTTAAATCCCTACTGAGGGGAAGGGAATGACAAGGTTTTGTGTCGTGAGGCCAAAATGCCAAGCCAAAACATTTTTGCGTCTGTAGATTTTTATATGATATATTTCTATAAATATAAATCAAATAAAGCTGTGTTATGTGACAGAGTCTGGTGGGTTTTGGATTCAGCATGTTAAACACCACAAAGACATCAGGGTGACTCACACAGAACTCTCACCGAATCCCCGTTCTCCCCTCTATCAACCCCTACCCCCACCACAACCGAAGGGGAGCAAGTCCCCCCTTCCCCACGGGAGCTAGTCCCCTGTTCCCCACCTCTCTCTCTCTCCCTGTGGGAGCATGTCCCCTGTTTCCACCCCTCTCTCTCTCTCTCCCTGTGGG